CCAGCTGTTTTGTGAAAGAAGGATGCTAGTATTTTCCCTTTATTTCCATAGAAAATAATCCTTTGTGGCAAAAGCAGTGACGTTTACCTTTCTGTTCTCATTGAAGAATTGCAGACCTATTTTTTAGCTAGTAAGAATACTGTTGAAATATAATTTAATTTTTTTTTTTTTTAAATTTGCGTGCTTTATCACTGCAGAAATCAGAAAGGAATTCTAAAGAAAAAATTGCGGCAATCACTAATAAGCTTATTAAACTTACTTTCCTTCCGCAGGTTTTCACTCAATTTTATATCTTCTTGGTTCACTTACAGTCTGTATGGAGAGATTAGAAAACCTGAATTTCATAGAATCATAGAATCATAGAATGGTTAGGGCTGGAAGGGACCTTCAAAGGTCATCTAGTCCAACCCCCCTGCAAGGAACAGGGACATCTCCAACTTGTCCAACCTGGCCTTGAACGTCTCCAGGGATGGAGCATCCACCACCTCTCTGGGCAACCTGTTCAGATGTCTGAATTTAGATGTCTGCTTGTCTTCTAAGTGTCTGAGCTCCATTGTAGTCAATGGATATATAGCGAATACAGTCAGTGGAGCCTGGAGAGCAATTCTTATCCTAAGCAGATAAGAATTACATACACTGGCTAGTCAGCTGGGAGCTCTCGAGGCTCCCTTGGCTTCTTCATTGGCAAGATCACCGTTGACATCGGTGTGAAGACTGCTGTGTTTGATCATCTTAATTTGGAACTACATCCCATCAAAACCTTGTAGTTTAAGTTAAGCCACCTAGTGTCTTTGGTCAGAAGAGAGAGACAGACATCTTTTGAGGGCAATTTACTCCACCTACTTTAAACGTCTAATTTAAACCATGAAATGAGAGCATAATACAGCCAAAATCTGTGCACGCTCTGCCATAGTCTGTAGAAATGTATACAGTTAAAAACAAAATCTGTGGTTGTTGTGTAGTTACAGTTATCTATTGCAGGGCAAGATAGAATGTCGCTTAATTAACTTAATAACCTGATAGGTACATTTAGACATAACTAATTAGAGCTTTCTTGTAATTAGGCCTATGATTAATAGACTGTGAAGACTGTTTCATTTGTATTAAATGCGTGGACAGTCACCAGGAAATTAAAATTTGAGCCTGCATCGAATAACTAACAGAGGACCTCAGGATAGCACAATAGTGAAAGATTATTCTCTTTATAAAAAAAAAAAATATAGTTAATTAATCATAGTTTAGACCTGTGGTCTTTTTAAGATCTTTTTCAGCCTTATCGATATATACATGAATATATCTCTTGGAAACATCTTCAGATCAATTTTTGCAAGTTTCTTTTAAAACAGTCTGTCTTACGTAGTTTAATAAAACTAGAGAATGTGAAAGCACATGGAGATACCATCATAGAAGAAAGTAGAAATAACTGGTTTAATTTCTAGTTTGCACAGTGCAAGGTAAAATCTTTGGAGAGGTTAACTGTGAGTTTTTCTGTAGTTTGTATCACCTTTCTGCCCATTCTTTCTCACTCTGGTCAGGGCATAATGTAATTTGGGGCAATACAGTGGGGAAGCAGCAGAAACGAATGTATGCACCCTAGTGCTTTCGTCTGTAGCAATCATGGAAATTCCCTTTCACTCCTTTTCTGTGCTGCAATGTCTCTTGTGGGTGCAGGGGGAATTAATAGCTACTAACATCTGAACAGGCGTCTTCACTTGTTACACAACTGGAAGGAAGAGAATGAGGGGAGCCCCACTGACAGAAAAGAGAAAAGGACACAGAGCGAAAGGAAGACATAGCTGTGGAAAGAAGATAGGAAGAGAGAGATACGAGTAGCGAACAACTCATCTGGCAGCATGGAGATCAAATCTGCCATGACTTCTTATTTGCCATTATAAGGCATACTGTGCACTGAAGAACATGTTATAAAAGTAGACAAAACTTTCTATTTTTCTTATTTGAATTAGGTGAAATTGGGAAGAAGTAGAAAACGTAGAAATTTAGGCTAGGAAGGCAAAAAGTATAGTTAATATTTATGAGACATGTAAGTGTCTTACGTTTCTGTTTTCATGCCTATTTCCCAACTTATCTGAGTTTTTCATCAGGAAACGAATCTCAGTTTCAATGATCTTGTGCCAGTTTTATTCTGCTGTTAGTGCAGAGGCGGCTTCATTGGGACTAGTTGGTCTTTTTTCTTTTCTTTTTCGTGTGAAACCTTGCCTACTTAGCACATTGTGAGTCAGATCAGACTGCTGCTAACCAAAAAGGAATTTTATTTTTGTAACTTGTTGTACACTTTAGTTTTTCTCATTTAATACCTTCACTTTGTCATCTTTTTTTGAAACATTTCGAACATGTAAGTGTATACTTAGAGTACTATCTAGTGTGTTCTTCTTGCCATCTATTAAGATGTCATCTGAGCAACAGATGGGGGCATCAAATAAACTTTGGATAATTTAATCAGAAGTTTAAGATTGTTAATCTTTTACTAGGGAATGGTGATGAGAATACCTCTAATAGGCATTCCTAATCTGTAATGTCGTTTCACCTTCAGTGAAGTATACGTTTTTACTTTAAAAGTAAGCTGAGTGATCACTAAGTACAGTTACTACCTGTGTGAAGTTTTTTGCTTTTTTATTGATTTTTGGGTTGGGCTTTTTTTCTTTTTTTCTCTTCCCCCTCTACCCCATGACATAACCAAGCAACCAAACACAAACAGATAACATATTTCCTTGTAACGCAAATTTGCTGGGAATGACAGGAGTCTCAAAGGAAACATGAGCTTGAAAAGCACTGGTTGGGGGCTGAACGGATGGAGTTAGGTCCCTCAGTGGACTGGGTGGCAGAATTTGGTAGGAGGACAAAGGCAGTGAGGATCATGGAGTTGTGATCCTCCTTCTGGGATCTCTGACAGTGTGTGTGACAGGAGAGTATGGAAGGGCATAACACCTCCTGCATGTGAATGTGTATTTACACAGAGCATATATCTTGAAGCTATTATCATGGCTAATGTTATCAGTGGTTGGGATAGAGGTGTTCTTTGCAAATTTCGCAGAATTCAGGAACCCTGCTGCAGTAAGTTGGAGACAACTTCCTCACCTTGCTTGAAGCAGCTTGAGAAGCTAAGAGCTTCTTCACTCTCCTTTTGCAATGTAATACTCGTAGTAAAGAGTTATGTCCTCCTTAGATGGCAGGGTTCATAACCTGAGTCACCTTTGCATTGACTTAAAGTTGTATTTACCTTTAATGACATCTCTGAAAGTGCTTGAGGCAAATCAGTTTGAGGCTTATTACATAAACAAGAAGTATTTTTTTGGAAGTGCATACTATTATCAGTTTATGAGGATTTCAGCAATGTTTCCTTTTTGCTTTAGGAATTTACAGGATTGGTATAACTCATTTGTTATTCCAGATAGATAAAAAAGCTTATATTAATAGTTCTTTTGTGTATCCTAATTGCTGTCACAGAATATTCTCTGGGACAGATCTCTGTATCACTCAGGCCTTATTATTAATATGTTAACAGTAGATAAATAAGTGGTCCTTTTGAATAGGAACTAATTTCACATCACCTCAGATAGCACTTTTATTTTCTGCTTTGTGCAATTATGTGCTTTAGTTTTATTGCTGTGTCTCAGAATAAGGTAAAGAATCCTATACTTAGGTTAATTTTATTAGGACTGTTTCTGTTAATTAAAGACCATTTCTTCCTGTGACAAACAAGTCAGTGATGGCAATAATGAAGTAGCATTTGCCTTACATTGACGTGTAGGCATTTAAAAAATTTTCCTCTCCATATTGTCTTTTTAAATGCTACATTAATGTTGTAAGGTATTATTAATAGATTGTCACTCATGCATGTCTTTAAAAAATTAGTAGTATCAACACATGTATCTCAGTTCTTATCGTCTTGTTTTTCTAAATCTAAGAAAAAAAAATTTTCAAACCATGATTCAGAGAAAATATTTAAGTTACAAGTCAGCTATTACAGATTGACCCTTTTCCTTTGTTAACAGAATCCTTTGCAGTGGAATTCCTATTGCTGTTGTGGTCCATTACAAGCACAAGATTACATCTTTCCACTTGTAACTAATTCTGCATTTTGGCAGGGGAAAAAAGAGAAAAATTTGCTGTTAGAGTGTTGCCAAGCAACGAAAATATGAATTACTCTGATTTCTGGATTTTTCTTGTATTATGTATATCAGAGGATTTCTCCTATGTTGGTGAGAGACAGACTCGATGAAGTTACACTGTATACCTTTACCATTTCTAAGATTAGTAAGTAGCTTAATTTCTTCCTGTGAAGTTCCATTTCAAAATCAAAGACACTTTTTTTTTTGTTTCCTGTAGATAATTATCACAGATGATCATGTCTTTACAAGACATGAGATTGGGCAAATTTTCTCTTTTTTGTTTTCTGAAGTTAAATTTCTCTTTCTGAAATGGAAAGCTTGTTTCTGTCCCATTTTCACTTATACCTAATTGTTTACACCACTACTTGAATAAAAAGAACAGGAAGCCTTGGACTGGACAAAGATAACTTGCTGTGTCTTAAAAATCCTGCATGCTGTTACTCGTGTTTAGTGTTATTTGCTATAGTCCCTCTTAAATATCTTCTTCCAACACAACTAACTGATGGTAATACAAAGTCACTATGAGTATTTAAAAAATTACTCATTAAATGAAGATGTGTGGAAAAGATGAAGCAGAGATAGACTTAAGTGTGCAGAAGTTATGATAAGATTTATGCTTAGGGATAGATGAAGAGAGAATAAATACTCTTAATAACTTAGCCAGTTTTTTCTCCTCGTTTTGTTGTACATTCCCATGATTTTTACTTTCATGGAGCTTTTTTGTTTGGCAGTGTCAGCCACAGATTTCCTGTGGAACTATATGGATTTCAGGATCACCTCCCACATGAGTCACTGATTTCCTCTCAGTGCACATAACCAGCATGGAGCTACAGGTTCTTTCTGGATTCCTAATCTGTGTTTTCTGTGTAGGGAGCCAGGAAGAACCACAGCAGCAGTGTGGAGAGTGCTTCTCTTTCTGCAGCCCTGCAAGGCCAGGGTGTACAACAGCAACTAGATAGTATCAATGCACGGCACAGGAGATGGTTTCCTGTTGATGTTGGTTTCGTATCCATGTCTGCAACAGTGTAATAAAATATTTACTCACATCTATACAATAATATTTTGGAGGACTTGCTTTAAAAAAATGTCTGCCTGTTTGATCAGGCCTTGGAGTTCCTGGATATGAATTCATATTCTAACCAGATCATTGTTCTGTGTCTGGGTGAGATCAAAAATGCACCAACCCTACCAATACATCAATTTCCAATGAGAAGAAGCTTGGATGTATGGGTCAGAGAAGAGCTACTCACCGCTCTGAAAAGGTGCTTGTTCTGAATGGTTAAATGAACAGGATTCAGATTGTTTGGGGTAAATTTGAGTAGGTAGTGGGGGTTGGGTTATTTAATGTAAATTCCAGCGGATATATGACCGTTTAGACTAAGAGCACTTCAGACATGAACACTTCATAGGGCCAAACTTGTAGGTGTTTCCAGCTGTTTTCTTAAAAGTTGAAACAGACTTTTCCCTTATAAGTGCTCGTGTACCTTTGGTAAGTGCAAGATTAGTTTAGGTGCAATATCCCACTAATTCTTTGCTTTATTTTAATTTTCTAAAGGAGTTGATGACCAAGCTGATAACAGAGACACCTGACCAGCCAATCCCATTTCTTATTGATCATCTTCAGTCCAAACAAGGGAACCGCGGTCAGCTTCAGAGAACATTGTCTGGCTCTGCTGCCCTTTGGGCAGAGAGTGAAACATCAGGTATGTTCTGTATGCTGGAAAGGGCTACTCTCCAATATAATCTTTCCATGCTTTTGTCTGTGATTTCCTGGATGCACGATAAATGCTGTTTGTCCAGGAGATACTGAATTTAATATACATCGTTTCTATCAGCTCACTGTGTACATGTCATGTGAGTATGGGTCAGAGTTACAGAGTGGAAACAATCCCAGTCTCAGTGAGAAAGAAGGTGCATATAAAGATCCCTTGATTCCCCTGCTATCCTCTTTGCTTTCCCTTTCTCTTTGTTTTGTTTTCCTTTTCCCTCCCATCCTTTATTTGTGCCTGAGATTAGGCTCTACTGAGGTATTTTCTTTAATAATACACATTTTTAACAACCCATCGTTCTAACACTTAATGAGAAGACGCTATTACTGCTTTATGAACTCCAGTGTGAATAATTTATGATTAAATTCTTCAGAAGCATAAAAAAAAATCTGAAATAATATCTACTCTGATTCTGAAGTAGAAACTTTAGCTTTGATATTCTGGTACAAGCTAGTATTGTATTTAAAAATTGACTGGTGATCTGTATTAGACAATCATAGATCTCAAATAGTTGCTGAGAGTGAAAGTATTAGTTGCCAGACAAATCAACTTTTTATTTATATCACATGTAAAGTTTTAAGCATAAGCAGTCAAACATGTAAGAGAATAAATGGAGGTTAAGGACTTTTTCATAACAAAAAATAAGATGTTACATTTTTAATGAAAAACATATTAATGAATTTCTAAATTTTGATGTTTAGGAAATGAAAGAAATTTAACAGAAGTCAGGAATAGAACAAAATGAACTGACTTTTTTTGACTGATAGGTCTTGATTTTTCTGGATTAATTGTTTATTAAGTCTTTGAAAAATGACCCTACAAATGTTATAACTGCCTGATTCGATTCTTTTAACAGAAAATAAAGGAACGAGGAGAGATTTTAGAAGTTATGATAAACCTTGGCAGGTAAATGCAAAAAAGCCTAAAAAGTCAAAGAGCGACCTTGCCGTGTCCAACATTTCTCCACCGTCACCGGAGTCCAAGTCATGTAAGAAAGGTTCACTACTTTATTAATTCGTGCATACTTCTAAACTCACAGTATGTTTTTCTGCTTAATTAAGATTAAAATGGAAAGCAAACTATGTGCAGTTGAAATGGCTAGATATATATGTTAGAAGAGTTTGATTCTTGCTTTACTTTCACTGAATTATGAATATTTAATAATACCCTATGTTGTCACCTATAGACAGAATAGAATTCTAGATAGATAGATAAATAAATAGAAGAATATCTGGGTGTCATGCACAATTTTATGTTCAGATACCGATTATGGTTTGATGTTTTAATTTGTATTGCCATTTTGCATGTGTAAAATCTGTTCTGTTGATATTGGTTCTAATAAGAGATTTTTTTTCAGTGAATCAGGCAATGCAAAACTATGAATTATGAACAGATACTGTTCAAGATGTGGTGGCAGTGTCTGCATAGCAGGTGTACTGCTGTGAGAGTTGCTGAAAGAATCTAAGTGTACACTGAAAGAAAAGGCGGAATAGAAATAGAGTGACTGGAGAGAATATTGTCAATGACCTGTAAAATAGTAGTAGTAAAAATAAAGGCAGCAAGCCTTAACGAAATATAGTACTTCCTGTGTAGTGGCTATTGAAGAAATTTAATTTTTAAGCTTGATTTTTAATGGAATTTTTACACAAATAAATATATCTACAATATACATATTATATGTATAGGTACACACACACACAAGTATGTATAAAAGATTTGTTCTCCAAAATAAATTGCAAAATTATATTCTCTTCTGTTGACTATCATAGGTTTTTGAAATATTTATAATAACGAAATCTTTTTAATAACTCAGAGTGTGATTAGGTGGACCAGATAAGACCAGAGATATATAGTATGCTGCAATAGAAGGCTTGCTGTCTTTCCTCTAAAAGCAAGACAGGGAAGTCTAGACTTGAATGGAGTCAAAGAAAAATCTCCCAGTGGCCTCAGCAGGCCAAAACATAGTACAGCAATGTGTAAAGTAAATTATGATAGACTTACGCAATAGAGACACTGTGCTTTTGGGTAGTTAACAGTCTGGTATGGTTATGAAACCTTTTTTGTTGAGAATAAATAACTGTAACAAGTAAAAAAATAGCTGTACAATTAGCTGTGTCCCATTGCACAGCTTTTCTCAGGACTATATAGTCCCAGGAAGATTTATAGATTATTTTAATTCACTTTCAAGAGTAAATAGGGATATTCAGAGAAGTGGTCATAGTCACTCATAATCTAACAGTCTTTGCTGGATGACAGCAATACGTGGAGATACACTTAGAAACAGTGGCCAAGGGTATTGTGAGCTATTTCTGTCATCGTGCTGTCGTCTTCTCCTCCCTTTCAGTGCTTGCACTTCAGACTCTTTGATACGAATCAAGTAACTTCCATGCCATCTCCTAACGATCTGAAGTTCTCAGTCTTTATCTCAAGTAGGGGTGTGACATCCCGTCATTCCCTTAATTTGTGTGCCTACTACAAGTTTCATGCTTGTTGATCCTTAGGTTGTCCCAGGAGAGAGACAAAGAGGAGGCTGGGCACTCTGAAGTAGCAGGTCACATGTCAAACAAGGAGATAATTTATACGTCCGTAATATAAGGCTGGACTCAAGGATCTGTCCTTGTGGACTGAAGGGCATCTAATAATGCTCTTCAATTGATAAGGCTTGCTCTCAAGCTTCCCAGGTCTCTAAGTGTAGCAGGAGAGTTTGTGGGAGTGCAGCTCTACCTATAACAGAGAAAGATAGAACTAGGGTGTGCTTAAGGCAATTGGACATACATAAATATGTGTCACTATATGGGATTTATTCTGAGCGTGCTGAGAGGAGATCAATGTCATTGCAAAGCCATTCTATCATCACCGAAAGGTCGTGATGATTGTGGTAGGTTCCTGATGGCTAGAAAAAGGCAAACATCACATCAGTTTTGAGGAAGGACAACAAGGAGACTTTGAGGACTACAAGCTGATCAGCCTAATCTTACTCTCTGGGAAGGGTATTAAGCAGATTTTCCTAGAAGGTGTTCCTAGCCACAGTAAGGAGGAAAATGTGATTTGGAACAGCAAGCATGGATTTATGAGATCATGCATACCTGATCAGATCAACATGATTGCCCTCTTAGATGAAACAACTGCCCCTGTAATCAAACAGTGGATGTTTAATACCTTGCCTTTAGCAAAACCTCTGTCAGTCTCCCATAGTATCCTGATAACTCAATTGGTGAGATACGGACTGGATAAGTGGACAAGAAGATATGTGGAAAGTTGGCTCAACTGTTGGGTTCAAGAGGTTGTGACTGGCAATGCAAAGTCCAGTTGGAAAGCCTGTCACTAGTGGCATGCTTAAGGGACGGGTACTGAGACTAATACCATGTAAAAATCTTTCTTAACATCCTGGACGATGAGGCTGAATGTTCTCTTAGCAGGTTTGCAGGTGAGACCAAATTGTGAGAAGTGGTTGGTATTCTGGATATCAGGGCTACTGTTCAGAGGGACCTCAACAAGTTTAAGGAATGGGCTGAGAGGAACCTCATGAAGTTCAACACAGGCAAATGCAAAATCCTGTATCTTGAATGGAACAACCCTAAGCATTAGTATGAACTGGGATCTGACTGGCTAGAAAGTAGCTTGGCAGAAAAATACCTGGGGTGCTGATGGATGAGAACTTGAATATGAACCAGCTGTGGCTGTGTGTTCTTGCAGCTCTGAAAGTGAGCTGCATACTAGGCTACATTAGCAAAAGCTAAGTGTTTAAGCCAGCAGTGTTTATTTTACACTTTTGAGATAGCATCTGGAGTGTGTCATGATAGGCAATGGTTTACTGGAGCAAGTCCAGTGGAGGTCAACCGAGATTGTGAGAGGCTAGGGCACGTGATGGACAAGGAAAAGCTGAAGGAAATTGCTTTGTTCATCCTGAAGAAATGCAAGCTGGGGAGAGATTTCATTGTCACCATCAACCATCACTCGAGGGTGGTAGAGAAGACATAGCTAGATCCTTCTTGAAGGTGTGTGGTGGTGAAAGGACAAGAGGCAACAAAAGGCAGGGGCAGTCAACCACTGGAACAGGCTGTCCAGAGAGGTTGTGGAATCTCCATTCTGGGAGATACTCAAAGCTCAAGTAGGTAGTCTGAGCAACCTTCCCTCAATGGACCAGTTTTGAGCCACAGGTTGGACTAGAAGACTTTCAGAGGTCCTTTTCAGCCTAATTATCCTTCAATTCCATGCTTTTCTGTTTACGACCTTTCCTATTTTTTTCTCCATATTGCTGTTTTAAACCTTGATTCCTCCTATTATTTTCATGACTTTCCCCTGCAAATATTTGTCTCTGCAACTTTTTGAAAATACCTTGTGTGTTTGAACTACATTTTTTTAAATTGCTATCACGGAGTCTGGTTTCAGCCATGTATTTTTTTGCCATATCTTGCTTCTCTTATTTTCTGCCAACGACCAAGTTAATACTGACTTTTTTTGGCTTTTGTTTGCTGGGTTTATGCCAAAACCAGTGGCCCTTCAACTGTATGCCCCTTCAACCACTCAGATCAGCAAAAAGCAATCATGTTCAGAAGCCATTTATTACTCTGTCCAGATATGCCCAGCATATTCCATTTATTTTGCGCTTTCGACTTGTATCTCAAAATATTTTTCGTTGTCATTGTACGTTTTTTCCAAAACCTCTCCAAAGAGGTAGTAAAGACTCATCTGAGAAACAGAACATTTTGGACCTGCTGAGACCTAAAATTTGTATGCAAAACAAACAAACAAATCCCCATGTCCAACAACCTAAAAAACTCCCCAAAACTACCAAAACAAACCCAAAACTTACTGGAGTCCATCAGCTGTAATATGTTCTGTCACAGAGCTTTTGTCTTATGATCATTTTGTTCAAATGATTCTGAACTTGTAAGTTTATTCAGAACTGAGAAATGTCATTTTATAGGAATTTTTGGAAACATTAGGAGAATTTGTTTAATTAGGAAATATTTTTTTCCTTCAGCAGAGCTGATGTTGACTGCAGTGTGCCTATTATTCCTGCATGGATATCTCTTCCTTATGCATTCAACTTTTTTACTGGAAAGATTGCTTCAGTCCCTCCTCCTACCTGTTATGATCTCAGTCACACCTGAAACAAACAGGCAAACAGGAAACCCTGGTATCTAAGGGATCTGATCACTTGTTTGGTGTGTGCAAAAACATAATTAAGCAGAAGCTGCTGCTGCTGTCTAGCAAGGGAAGAGGCTTGAAGCTAGGGCTCCTGGTGTGTGTGTGTTTGTGTATATATAAATATATTCAATGAAATATTTAGATGATCACATTCTGTATTTGAAGAAGAACAAATATGGAAGTTTCTAAATACTTTGTGAAACAGACTTTGTGCTTCCCAGAAAGCTACTTTTAGGCAAAGTATGTTGATCTATTCACCACCTACATATTAAATCAGATTGTAGATCATCATTTCACTCTGCTTCAGTTCACCATTCTCACGATATGCCATTTACAATTACAATGTTGCATACTTCTGATTGCCCTTGGTCAGTCCAGGACTGTAGGCGTTTGTTTTCTCAGCCTTTCAATATCCAAGTACTGCGTAAACCAGTTTGACTGTAGTATCAAAGAACTCTATTCTGAATACTGTTGTGAGATTGAAATACATGAGTAATTTTACAGGCAATAATAACACACGTATTTTTGTTCTTTGCCATGTGAGATGGTCATAGAATGTATTAACGAAATGTAGGATTTAATGAGCAACTGGTCTGATTCTGTCTGCAAATCATGTCTTGAGAAGACATGTATAGGTGTATAAAACCAGTACTGATCTTGTACCATCATCCAGTAGATAATAAAGGTCTACTGATTGTGACAGAACTCATAACAGATCTGTGAATGAATCTAGCGAGCATTTGTTGGGAGAGGAGCACCACCAGAAAATCAGGAATACTAGAAAGCATGTCTTTGCAGGCTTCTAAGATGAGATGAGGAAGCCTCAGCTCTATAAAGGGAAATCCTAAATATTTATATACAAGCGCTATTATGTAGGTGAAATTAATCTTCTGAATTACAGGGAAATAATTTCAAGAGAAAGTGTTACATAAGTCTCTGAAATAACAGAAATGAGGTTGAAGCAGGTAATCTGATAACGTATTTAAAATTACTGATATGATGATTTTGAGGAATAAGTGAGTATGATAAAGAGGAAGGTCAGAATATTATGAAATTATCTTACTAAGTGTGCAGCTTCACATGCGTGGAAATGATGTATGATGGATTTCATACGTACTAAAGAAGATCGTGTATTTCAAAAGATCTCAAGGAAGAGTCATATGGTCTTTGTACAGTTCTGTATGCTTCACACAAAGCCATCCATTTGAAAATAGACAGTGTTTGTTGATCCTATAGTTGGGAAGATGCAAGTTTATATTTTAAAAGCATTTGTAAGCAAGCAGAAAACGAACCTTGCAAGGAGAGACGCATCGCGTGATGTCATGGGGAAGATTTTAGTTTTAGTACCCATTCATTAGTTAGAAGAGTAGGTAAGAACTATGTCTTCTCTAGAAGTAATAACAATTTCAGTCAGTTCTAATTCTGCTTAACTTCCCCCTCAGTTTGGCTCAATAGAATGAGCCAAAGTCATTGTTGAAACAAATTCTACTGAAACTCATAAATATTCCATGACAGCATATCTGTTTTGATACATTTTCATTGAAGTACAAAATGGTTCACTGAAACACAGACTGTGCTACAGCAGCGTGCAGAGCAGATTTCCACCATGTTTTTGACTGGTTTCCCAACATTTATCTAGTGAGATGCAGTTGAAGCTTCCCATGTTTGTGGGACATTTCTCTGAAACTAGGGACCAGACCATTGTCTCTTGGGCAAGTTTCCCTACTTTCCAAAAACGGAGTCTTGTTACTCTCATTTTCCTGATGCAGGTTGGTCCATATACTCATCAGTTGCTGATCCTGGAAGTTCCACAGCTGTTGAGTCAAACTTATGTTTGTTTCATTCAGCTTCTGTCCTGTAACAAATTTTATTTCAGAATCCTATGGTTTCTCAGAAATTCTGTCCTTCGGTATTTTGAAAAGTGTGATTTGTTTCAAATTAACATGATGTCAAATTCCAACCTGTTGAAATTTTCTGCAACATGTAAGCTCTAAGGTTTGGTCATCTTTGTACATGGTTTTACTATATTAAATTATTGTCTGTATTTTGGTGGTACTGTGAGGTTTCTGTAGTGTGGTGAATTCAGTATAAACATGGAAAGAAAAGTCTGTCAAAGTGCTAGTAGGCTAGAGTGAGTGGTGCTGTAGACTAGTACAATGAAGGGAGAAGATGAGATGATTGAACAAGCAGACAATAAAGGAGCATGTAGTCTCAATATAAAACAAAAGTGAACAAAAATAGACATCTCTATTGTAGAATTTCTTTCTAGTTTACTAAATATTTATTTTTACATTTAGTAAAAGTTTAGAAAAAATAAAGGCACATTTTGTTTTCTGTAAATAAAAAAAGGATGACAAATACTGAAGTTGTGCTATTTAATTTAATTATGTTAGGGTGTATGAATAGAGGCAATTTTTGGTCACACAAAATTTAGATAACTTTTAATGAATATAGTGGTTCCTAAACCAGGGAATTATAAATTAAATTACTGGCATTGAAAAAACATCAACTAAAATTATAAGCTGTCCATCTGAGAAGAGGCTAGTAACTACCCTAATACCTTAATGTCTGTATTTGTTCACTAGGAACCACCACAGCTCATTATTTCCATTGTTCTCAGAAGGAAATAACATGACTTGTCTTTTTTGACACAAAGCAGAACCGGACTCTGACACTCCATTCCCTACTCCTTATTGAGGCTTCCTGTGTCTATTTCCACCTACTCTTATCTCTGTAGGTCCTTGTTAATGTCTCCTTTGTCTTCTGTCTTTAAGACTGTCTGTAATTGCAGTCTGATGTATTATCTTCCCGAATACTTACCCGGGTTCCTGAGTGGGTGTTACAGATCAGAACATACTTTAGGTTGTTGGACTTTGTATAGATGTCCAGTTTGAAGATATCTTGTTTTATGTCCATGAGAGATGGGATCACGTTTTTTGTGAGAGAAGGACTTAAACATACCATTGTCCCATTTCCATACCTGGAAAAGATGGCTATTAACTTAACTCCAGCTTTTCCTTGTGGAGTTGATCCAAAGTGATTCTATATTCACTCAGAGGGCAGTCAGCAATAAGGAGAATTTAAATCGCAGCAGTTATTTAACACATTTTGTAACAGCTACCAGAACTTGAAGTCTGAGCGTAATTTCCCCATACCATCATAAAAGCACTCTGCAACTCCAAATGATCATGGGATACCACTTTTTTTGCACAATTTGTAGGAGTCTGAAAGTTTCCTTCTTAACATGTAATGAAAATGAAGTTTGTAAACATAAATTAGTTCACAGCTGTCAAAATAGTAAATAAAACTTTCAAAGCTGGCCAGGATACATTGGACGTTATAGGCTTTGTTTTTGAAGCGATTTTTAGGTGAGTAATTATAACCATTGATAAATACAACTGATCCTTTCTGTTAGGGATATAGACTAAGCATCATCTTCACACCAGCACGTGCAGGTCTCGTCACAGCAATGCTATGTTTAGAGACAACCCAACAATTGTATTTGGTGGTGAAGTTAGCAGATTGCTTAGCTCAGAACATTAGCAAAAAGAACATGTTAAAATGCAGTTCCAGAGAAAGCATAATTTTTGTTTTAATTTCTACAGATTGTTCAAAATATTCACTTTGGTCAATGCAGCTCTGTTCATCATGGGTCCTGCATATCTCAGAAACTCCTTTTCTTCTTCCCTGCCCTTGTAGGTAAAGTTAGCTCAGCAGTTGAGAAACTGTTATTTTAAAATTAAACCAAAGCTTTTGGTAATAGATAATGAGTAGAAGACTAAGCTTAGGACTGTACTTCCCAAAAATTGAATTTGTTTACTTTAAGTGTTGAAATAAAGATTATAGGCTGTACAGCATGAACAATAGGGACATATTTGGTTTCACTGTTTTTACAAACTGTTATCTATGCTTTATGATTTTTTTAAAATGTATATACATGTTTTAAAAGCTTTGTCTAAAATATTTCTTTTTTCTTTTTGATCAAAGACTAACAAAGCCAAAAGTACCAGCTACTCATTTTCATTTCATGGTTTTTCCTTATTAGTTCCTAGGACACACAATTTTGATGTAAATGAAGTACCTTCGTATGCAACCTTTTTATTACATTCTTCTGTTATTGCATTATTTTTATTAGTTTTAATTCTTAATACTAATTATTCCTATTTACCAACTAATTCAGTTATAAGAATCATCCCAAATATGCAATTTTTCATAGATGTTTTCATTTTTACTTCACATTGACCAAAGAAGATATTTCCAGCTGTTAAAATAGGAGGACAGTTAAGTAATTTCCACTCAAGGTACTTGAGCTTGTAAACTCATTGTGCAGCTTTTTTTCTACTGTAGGAATCTGAACTACCAAATCTAAACTTCATCTATATATCTGTGTATATTTAGTGCCAAGGTCAATAGAGCATCCTAAATGGGATTGGAGGACAAAACCGGAGAACCATGATTTTGATGAACTAAATCATATTCTTCAAGAGAGCAAAAAACTTGGAAAAGCCCTTGAGAATCTTTCTCGCAGTAAGTTGATTGATTTTAGTTTTTTAATGTAACCATACAGCCTGAATTGTAATTTGGAAGTCTATATCAAGAAGGTGGTCTTCTATTCAATTAAGACCAAGTTCATTGACATCAGCAGTTACATTTCTGTTGATGAGGCTTTCAGAATGTCAGATAATTTACCAGCTCTCCTGCTGACTGAAATTACTTCCCCTGCACATCCTTTTTTGTTACATTGCTTTTCTGCTAGTTTAGTGAGCTGAATTAACCCATAAATAGATCAACACAAGAAGCTGGTTTAAGGAAAATGGTGGGAACATGCAGCAGTCGGACTATTGCTTTGGATGTTAGCAGTTAAATTGGATTAGCCTTTGTGAAACCTTAACCTCATTGTTGGAAATCAGACCTGTCATTGAAAAACAATGAGATATTTTTTATTCTTGACTTTAATTAACTCCTTCCAGTTATCAAAAACAATTCAAATAAATAAATTAAAGCATCTCACATAAATACTCAAACACATGATGGCCAATTATTTCCTAACAAAACCCAAGTATTATCTCCTAAAAGACATAGTCCAAGAGGAGTAGTGTTTAAAAATAGCATGCTCATGTAAGGAGTAGCTCTAAGAATGACTGGATATGATGAAGAATAGCTTTTTTTTTCTTTCCTGTAGAAGAGAATTCTGAGATACATTGGTGGGAGCAAACACTACTAAAAATTATCAAAGACTGAAAAGTACTCTCTGCCATACTACGTGAAAACAAAGTATGATGTGGTTCTGGGAGACATTTGAATGAGAAATATTTTCTTTCTCTTCTCATGAAGAGAAATTTTATCCTTGGCACTTATTGATTCACTGGAGAGACTGCAGATGGTGAGGTCAGAAACAGAGCTGAATGAAGAATGGAAGATCTGTTTTATGGAGAATTTTGAGATTCAGCATTTTCCCAAATTGTGTCAAATAGTCAAAACTAGTTTGCCCAAATTCCGTCTCTCTCAAACGTTTTAGGTTGATCACATCAATCAATTATATTCTGAGCAATTTTCATATTTATGTTTATTATAGCAATATAGTTACAGGGGTCTTTTCAAATCCATTTCTAGTAAGTTGGTCTATCTGCCTCTAAGGAGCTAAACCACCTCCAATCAGGGGCTGTGATTTGCAGCCCCAACATTACCTGACCATGTTACTCTGACGGGGGCGTGAGTTCGTGAGTTTGTAATTTTCAAGCCTTTCTCCTTTAGACACTTCTAATCAAGCTTAACATAAATACAGAAACTTTTTTTTTTTTTGCCAGTTTCAGAAAGAGTTATTTATTCACTGTTTGGAGATATAAACTAATCAGATGTGAGAGTTCAATAATATAAGAGTAAATCCACTCTTCAATCCTACATCTTTCTCTTTCCTTATGAATATTGTGTAGATTCCACTGAGCTTTGGCATTCTTATACCTAAAATACAGTTTGCAGCATTCTGTACCTCTCTTTGCCACAGTTTTCTGACTGGTGTGCAAAACACTGCAGCTCTTCTGGGTGCTACGCTTGGACTGGAGGTGAATGAAACTGGTCAGTGTTGCTGGAATCAAGTTTTCATAGAGTTATTTCACAAACGAAACATTCTTCACTGTTTCTTGCTAGTACTTGATGTTTTCTGATCGTTTATCAAGACAATATGGAGTTTTAATCCTATTCCCCTGAGTGCTTTAAATCACTTGCAGCCTGATACGAAGTTCACTTTCATGAATGTGCTCTCTATTTCTTCATCCAGATCATTAACGGAAATATTGTCAGACCTCTTCATGATTCCATTTCAGATCTGACAACCAGCCCTTGAAAGCTACTCAGTAAGTGCATTTTTTCCCACCAGATGTTTATCTACCTTGCAGTGATTTCACCTAGAATGTAATTCTCTAATTTGTTTAGTGGAGTATCATCTAGGACAGTAAACAAAGTCTTCTTATAGCTGAAGTATTTTACATCTGCTTCCTCCTCTTATTCACTAGGCAAGTTTCCCAGTTGAGAAAGCAATTAGACTGATTTGATGCGATTCGTTCTTGACAAATTCATGTCATCTGGTTCTTACCACCTTTCCAATCCATTAGATGTTGATAAATTGTTTATTTAACAATTTTATCAAATATTCTTGCTGCTGTCAGATTTAGGCTTGTTGATTAGTAGTTCCGCATGTCTTCCCTTTTTCTTTTCTGAGAAAAGATACAGTTTGTGCCCTTTTCTGTCCTCTCTATTCCAGAAAGACAGTTTCTAATGGATTAGACATTTCTTCATCTAGTTAGTTATGTGCTTTAGAGTGAATTTCACAAGATTCTGCCAACTTGAATTTATCTAAGTCATCAGAATATCTTTCAGCTTTCTGTCACTTAGCTTGCAGTTTTTCCTCTTAAAATCATTAGTGTTAAGCATCTGGCCACAATTAATGCTTTTGTAAACACTGAAGTGAAAGTATTGAACACTGGGATTTCTTTGTATCATCTGTTATTTGCTTTTCTTCTCTTTGATGTGATAGTTCTGAATTTTACTTTGTCCTCCTTTCCTAGGGTATTCATAGTATCTCTTCTTGTGACTTTTTTGTTCTTTGATAGTTGTTACTTTGCACTTTAGCCTTTTTGGTTTTATCGTTTAAATACTTGCATCAAATCAATTCTAAGCTGTATGTCCTTGTTTCCAGTTTTTGTACTCCTGATTTTCAGATCTTTTCAGTAAATAAATCTGTTCTGTGCTGTGATTTCTTACATATTAGGATGATATAAAAATTCAAAATGAAAAATCTGAAAAGTTTAGAAACAAAGGTGTAATTTTGAAAATAAATGTGGTTTTATTGTTCTCCTGAAGGTAGAATACAGATTGCACATAGGAAATATCTTACAGGGTTTTGATGAAGAGACTCGTCTAGAACTCTAAAAGTATAAGACACGTGAAATTCATTCTGTGCTGTATCCAAACAAGCATCCCATGTGCTGAATTTTACAAAAGCTGTGATAAGGCCTTTTCCAGTGTTAATGCTTGTTTTGGACAGGCTGGTCAGTGCTTTTAATTCTACAGGCATGTCCGTAAAGTCTATGACTCTGATGCTACATTTGATACTAATCTTGTCTCGAAGCAGTATGGGACAAGCACAGGGCTCGACAAATAGTTGAGCATGCAAATGATCACAGTGTACTATCAGTGGCATTTTACAGCACATTCTCATTTTGTTCTTCAGTATTTTAACAGGGAAGAGTGCCACACGGAACCAGATGTTTGCAATTAAATTAATTTTCAATCAAGTCCTGGAATTAATTTTGATTTTTAAAGATAATCTTTGGATCTTGTAGTGAGTTTCCAGGACTTCGTTGCCTGCTATGCAGCTGACACAGCCAGTGAATTATTGCTTCATTTATTATGCAGTCTAGATATCTGCTTTGAAACAAACCTGCACACCTCACACCAAATTAGAATTGCCTGAAAGCTTTGTAAGGTGAGACTCAGGCACTCGGATGTCTGGTCTCTCCTATGTTCAGTCCTTCTAGTGATTAAAAGTGAACTTCCTTATATTTGGAGCCCTCCTCCCAAGCCCCATGTGAGTAATTGTGTGCTGCAGAGATCTGAAAAACCAAAAGTGACTTCACACTCAATTAAAAGTGTCTCATGACTTTTGAGAGACTGGAGAAGAGTATTGCCATAATTATTGTCTAAGTGTGTTGGAGCTTAGTGATTGAAGTATATCATTTTCCAGAGACCTACTCATGTGGGAAACTTGAGTTTCATTTTCTTCTCCAATCAGCTGTGTGTCATTGAAGTGGATTTTGGGCTATCAAGTCAACTATTTAGGGGAGACTGTTGTTTACGAATCAATTTCATTTTCTTCTCCAATCAGCTGTGTGTCACACAGGATTATACAGCATTTCCCTTTTGCATGTTTCATTTTCTTCAATTGCAAGGTCTTTCATCTTTATTGCCATTATTCTTCTTCCTCAACTGATTGTGAATAAGAAAATTTCCATGCTATGTCAAATGTATGCTTTTGTATTTCCCCTTCTGGCTTGTTTGCCTTTTAAAGAGAGCTAAAATCTCCTCTATAGCTAAGGATCTTGCTCATGAATACACCTGTCTTCACCCTTCATCTTCTGAGGATGGAAAAATAAATAACAAGAGATGGAAAACAGTGAATTACAAGTGTTCTGAGTGTGAAAAATGAGGACTAAATCAGGAAGAGCTTGCTGCAAAGTAGGTGTGAAGTGTGCCTGTCTTGTGAACAACTTTACATCTTTTAATGAACAGTTAAGCATTAGAGTGCATATTGAAGACGTGCATATTGGATGTTTCAGTTTACACATGGTAACAGCATTTGGTGACACTTAACATGTTTTACTGTGAGATAGGTACTTTTTCATAATAACACATAGCCTTTCAACAGAGATAAACAACATTTTGTTCATAATGTTTGAATCCTTGTTAAGGCCAGATGCATACTTCAAATCAGAGGGGAAGAAACAATTCTATCATGCTTTGAATTCTATGGACGTTCTAAGGTCAGAAAATGGTGATGAGTTAACATTAATCGAAGCTATTTGGGAACCAATCCAAGTCAGTTAGTTGGAGAGAAGCACAGAAATTAAATGATATCTAGCTATAACCAACAGGAAAAAAAAAGTACTGTTTTGTTTCTTAATTTAGAAGGGGAGTAATCAGTAAATAAATAGTCAGTAAATAAGAAAGCCATCTGCAATCTAGTAGGAAATATTGCTGGAAACTGCAAAGAATTGTAGAATCACAGAATGGTTCGGGTTGGAAGAGACCTCTTGAGGTCATCTGGTCCAACCCCCCTGCTCAAGCAGAGGCACCTAGAGCCTGTTGTCCAGGACCATGCCCATGGCTCTTGAATATCTCCAAGAATGAAAGATCTCTGAGTCCCTCCTGAGTATCACAAACAGCTACTTATCATGTTAGAATCAGTTGATGTTGTTTATGCATAGCTTAAGAAAATCAGACAATGATCTTACCCCTTTAAGAAAAAGATG